AGGTTTTCAATCCGAAACCTTGAAGCAAGCTATTATTCTAACTCTTATCCTTTGACCACGTGTTCTATACATACCTAGGTTAATTCTAGGATAATTAAACATAATTAATGAACCACTTTGCATGATAAAATCGGTCTAGAACAATGTATGATTGTATGGTTATGATCGAGTTTATATATAACTTGCATGATTTGATGCATGAATTGTGTTTTAAATTGATGTAATCATATTTAAAAGCTTTAAATTAATTATTGGGTTGGACATTCTGGAACATAAATTCAAAGGTTAGGACCCTTAACAATGGAAGTTGGACGAAAAACATAGGCTGAAGACGAAGAAAACGACTCGCAGTTAGAACGAGTTGATTTAATTTTCAACTAAGTCGACTTAATTCTGAAGGAGTCAACTCAGTTGGAAACTGAGTTGACTTGATTGGCGAATAAGACGAATTAGTTCTGAACGAGTCGACTCAATTGGCCACTCAGCCGACTCATTCTGGAATGAGTCGACTCAGTTGGCTTGGGACTTGGATTTTCGGGTTTTGAGTTTTAATACTACTATAGGATGTTTTAAATCAAGTTTAATTGTTTAAATGGATATGATTAATTTCTAGAAGACATAATATATATTAATATGCTAAGGATTTGGATAATATGGGATTTTAAATAACTTCTAAGTTGTTTAAATAGATAATTATTTGGATTAAAATTGTGTAACAATTACAAAAGATTATTTTAATAATTTTAATCTTGACTGTGGATGCTTATATGATTTAATTGAGATGTAGGTTAATTACTTGTGATGTAAGTTAACTGCGTACTATTTAAATTGCTTAAATAAATGTATTGGATATCTATATGAGTTATATCATGTTTTACTTCTGAATTATTTGATGTATATATATATGTTTGCATCAATTATTGGATTGTGTGGAAACTATTGTTTCGTTATGGATTATTAATGTACCATTATCAGGATATGGGGGCATATCATGGATGGACTGGCTAATAAGTTAAGTCTTATCTATTCATGTCAGGTCATAGAACTATGTGGCCGGATGACAAGCCATTGAAAGATTACGGCAGATAGTTTATTTTATGTTTTAGATAGGATATATATATATATGTGTGTGTGTGTGTGTGTGTGCGCGCGCGCGCGCCACAATACGATCTTGAGTTCTCAGGATCAGTGGTTAGAGAACGTATATTGCCTGGTATGCATAGCTAGATATAGTGGATAGTTGTGTGCCCTGATAGATCATGGTACTTATGCCCACTATGTGTGCGTTTTGCATGTTGATTACTATCCAGTTGATGCCGCCCTATAGTCCAGTAAGAGTCCTTTAGTGTGTATTTATATATATACGGACCATGCAGTTACTGTATGAGTTGACTAGGATGCATATGTATATCGGGTCTCTGTTTGGGATGTATTAGAGTAGAACTTGTTCGTGAGCCTAACCCACTATTGTTTTCAGGTGTTCATTATGTGTAGAGATTGTTCGTGCAGAGTAAAGACTAGTCTTCATCACTCTTCTGATTATCTACGTAAGATTCTACTTTATACTTTCAGACTTTGGATTTAGTTTTAGTTCAGTTATTGTTTTAGTTGGGTTTTTATTAGGGGTCCACATTATGGATTTCCGAATTGTAATATAAAGGATTATTGGTATCAGAGTATTTGGAGGATTATTTTATTTAGAATATTGTTTTGGAGAATTTAATATTAGTCCCTTTTCAACTTTATCATTTATTCTTTATTTATCTTTTGTAATCCGTGTTTGTTTATTATCTTAATTGATTGATTATATCCCTTGGTGTCGTGCGTGAACCCGATCAACCCCGTGTTCCGGAATCGAATGGTATCACAGAATCCGACCAATCATGATTTGGTCTGAATCTAATTCGTATACACGTGTATAGAAAACCTTCTTAAAATCACTGCTAACATAGTTCTCCATGATTTCTTGATGTAGGGCAGAGTGAAAAGATGCACCCAAGTCCAGAACTCATAACTCAACCGAACTATATATGCTCAAAATCAGAGCATCAACAGCTTTTTTGTGCCAATGTTTACAACTTCCTATTTTCCTTTGTACTTCTTCATCGGTGCCAAACAATATCTCTTTAAATGTAATTTATTTCCACAGTTTCAATAATCGTTAAGAAGTTTTCCTGATCTCAATCTCAACTTACTCATATTTTTGAATTTCAATTTATTACAGTCTCAACTTAATCATTTTGATGTTTTTTCATTGTTTCTGGTATTTTGAGCAAATCCAAATGATTCACTCGTTTAACTTCCAAAAATTTTTACTAAAATTCAAGTCCAGACATTAAACTTCAACTTCTTTTTTACTAAAGGATTGCTCACCATCATAAACGGTTCCAGCTTTTTGGCAAAGAGGCCGGACAAAAAGATCGCTCCCCAATCTTGTCATTAAATTTGATTTCTCATTCCAATGTTCAACCATTAATGCGCCTTTTGACATCTTTAGGTTGAATAACCGCCGCATCAAATGTACCTTGTTGAGTGCGGAGAGTTTTTTTATACATATTCTTAAGGGTTACATGCCATGGAACTTGATGTTGTCTTCTCTTTCGTTATATTAAAGGCGACTTTGTGGGATGGTATGTTAATCGAATATCCCCAAACACTTGTCAATTAAGAATGACCTAATCTATCTTTCATCTGTTCTAATTTCATTCCAAAAAGAGAGTGATACATGTTCTTTTGATACATATAGAACCTAAAGTTTGTCCCATTGAACTTTTCAATCTTGATCTTTCCTTCTTTTGTACCCATTGTTGACACTCGAACAAGAAGCTTTGATACTAATTGTTGTGAAAAATCACAGAAAAATAGAACATGGAACACAAATTTATGTGGTTAACCCAAAACCTGGGCAAGGTCCATGGAGTTGAGAAATTTCACAGAGAAACGGGCACCATAAAATTTAGAAATATAATACTATCGGCCCACTTATATTCCTATAGAAATAACAAGTGTGAAAAAATACAATAATACCCTAAAAATGAGTTAGGCTGACCAAAATCTTATTGCGATGGATACAACGAATTTATGTCCACAAATGTGGCTAGGGTAGTGGTGAAAGACAAAATTAACCTTTGCAGTATTATCAGATTCTGTAGTTCTTATCTATTGTGTGCCCTCAAATAAAAAATTAAACTTTCATTATCTCACAAGAAAGATTAAAATGAAAGATGATTTTTAATATATGCTTAAATACAAAAATCTAATTATTAATAAAAAAGTTAATTTTTAAGTAACAAATAAAAATTATTATTTAATATTAATATATTAAGGATTAAAACATTTTTCACTAAAATCATCAAATTATATTAGGCGGACCGTTGTTAAAACTAAGATTTTCAAAATTTTGCTTAATCGTGGGACACAATATGAAAGATACGACCAGTGCATGTGATAACATGTGATCAATGATACTGTTTCAAAATACGGGACCTAAAAGATAGGAAAAAAAAGAGTGAATATAGGTTTATAGCTATAGTAGTCGTCGATCTAGCTAGTTTCTTTTGGGCTTTGGTGGTCCATAGTAAGTGCGTGCCCTTTAGATTTGATACCTTTTTTTATTTATTTATACAGAGTCCCATTTTGAGTGGATTATGAAATATATATTACGTAGATTTGGATAAATATATGAAAGATAGAGTTTAGGTCGTAAATAAACTAACTTACAAATCTGAGGTATTTTTTAACTAAAAAAATCTGACGTGTTTTATTCTTTTTAAACTATCAAAACGTAGGCATTTTATTGACTTTCGCTTATTTCACTCACTCATGTGTGTTACAAATGTCACCCCTACTAATATACAATTATTCTCCTTCTTACTTTACAACTATAATATTTTACATTCAATGGTTAAGATTTAGTTAGAATTCTCCACTTAATATATACATGTTTTCAAAATCTCTATCTTTCTAAACTTTTCTCCAAACTGTTAGTTTCTACAAACACTTCAATGTTCTAGAATCCTTCATAATTACTTTTACAACACTTTATACTTTCCTATTATTTGAAGAAAAATAATATATATGTGGTCACATTTTTAATAATTTTTTTAAAAAAAATATATAAGTGATCATATTTTTAATTAAAAATTTAAACAAACAAATATAATACTTGAATCCTTCCCTTTAAGAAAAGAGCTTGTACTTACTGAACTATTACCCATTTATTTTATTTTCTATGATAATTATCTCCTGTTTAAAATAAACTAATCATTTGGTTTACTTGATTTTTTTTCTTCATATTTTAAGTAAATTACATTCCTTTTATCCAAACAAATGCTACTTTTTACTTCCTATACACAAACTATTACAATCACATCCTATTCAAAAGGACCAATCTATGGGTTGGTTTTATAGGCGACAATTAATGCATAAATGTTCAGAACTAGTAGCTACCACACCACGAGTTCCAAACCCTCCTACATATATGCATATAAAACAAATGACCTTATTGATTTGAGTTCACATGGACACACACGTGACAACAGTGGGGACTAACATATCTTGTTGATTTTACATTGGAATGTAATTTTTTTTTTGAAGTACGTCAAGCTAGGAAAAGGATATATAGAATAGTGTGATCCAAAGCTCTCAAGTTTCTGGTAGAGACACAGATTCTCCTTAGACCCCACAAAGGACATCCATGTTCTCCCTAATCTCAACCAAATAGGACCCATGATTAATAGATTATACACCCAAAGCCAAACATAGATATGCCTATCATGATATCATCACTCTCCTTTTTTGGTCCAATATTACCGATATCAGTATGTCACTCCTGTTTTATCAGTTTTTTGAAACATATATATACACCCTTCCACCCTCCCCTTTCTTCACCAACCCACTCCTCTTCTTCTTCTTCCAAAACCCACCATCATCATCCCAACAAAGCATACAAAATATATTTCTAACCTCCCCCGAAATACAAATTATTTACAAAAAAGAAAATGTCTGGAGTTTTGAAGTTCAATGATAAGGTTACTGTGATTCGCTTTAACGAAAATCCGAGAGCGAATCAGCACAATGATGGAAGGCAAGGTACCTCCAGTCAAAGAAAGGTTTTAGTGCACTTACCCACGGGTGAGGTGGTGTCCTCATACGCCTCACTCGAGCAAATTCTAGGGGGATTGGGATGGGAGAGGTACTCCGGCCGTGCCAGCAATCCCAACCTCCTGCAATTCCACAAGCAATCTTCCATTGACCTAATCTCTCTTCCTAGAGACTTCTCCAGGTTCAGCTCTGTTCACATGTATGACATTGTTGTCAAAAACCCTAATGTCTTTCACGTCCGTGACATGTGAGCGCATTAGTCTCGCACTAATTAATGACTCTCCTCCTATTCTCTAGTGCGTGCATGCATGCAATATGTTATATTATTCTCTGATTTTACTAGTGTTTAGAAATGACTCTGTATATATGAGTCATGATAAGCTGTTCAGAGTTTTGGACAGCAAATAATTATCCTATATATATATATATGGAATAAAGAGAGGGAGAGATGGTGTGTTTAATTATGACGTTAAGGTATTGTAACGTTTTGTAAGTTCATCAATATTGCTTTGTTTCATACAATAAGAAATCAATGCCATGGAACTTTATTTCAGTTTATGAATTGTGGATACTAGCTATGAGCCTTCTGATCCAGTTTACAGTATTTATTTATTTATTTATTAGCAAGAAATGCACACCATTTACACACCCACTTTGCCCAAATGAGGACTCGAACCTCCACCAACCACTTTGGCAATCATCCACTCTCTGCCATGTCATCCGACCATGAGCACTACTTGAGTTCTCCTTTTAGTGATGCATGTAGAAGGTGCAGCAAACGATCCCAGTGTGTTCTTGACCTGATACTACAATATTGAAAAAAAAAAAAAAAATGTATTTCACAATTAATCAAACTGCAGGTACTAAAATATTATCAAACACTAAAAATTAAGTTGTTGTGAAATACACGTGTCAGGATCTTCAGACTATCTCTGCAAACTGCAGGTACTAATTAATTTTTTTTATTTTCAAGCCTGCGTAAAAGAACCAACCAAAATTTTTTTTTCATTTTTTTTGTTTTGTTCTGATGTATAAATTGTTGTGATGCCAATTCTTTTTTCACTTTTTTCTTTTAACAGTGCTTTGTTCTCATGTATAAATTGTTGTGATGTATCTGAACATTGTACCTGAAGAGAAAAAGGTGGTGCACTGTATATATATACATATATATAGGAGAGTGCATAATTATGCTAAAAAAGAAAGGAAAAAAGAAGAAGAAAAAGACATAAAAGTGATACCATTTCACCTGGTATCCCAATTATATAATTAAATCTTAGTAAATAAAAATATATTTGTCAGGGCACTATATCACTGACATTAATACCATATGATCTATACTTATTTTTAAAAAAATTATACAATGCTTTAATAATGTTTTATTTGAAAACACTGAATTGAAAATATTAACCGAAATATCACATGTAAATACTCTTTTCTAGTGTTTGAGAGACTGATAGAGTGACTGTTGAGGTTCTAGTAATGAATCTGTTTTGATTCGATCAGATGAAGCTGCGCGGTCCCAGCAGAGGCAAAGGGTAGATGGTTTTGCACGTGAAGTGGATCGTGATTCTTTGCAAAGGCTATGAAACCTTCCTTTTTTTTTTTTTTAAATAAGAACCCTACTATCTTGGGCCTATTAGCCCTAGCTAGCTTGATAGAGACAGGTAAGTGCAGAACCCAATCGTGGTGGTTCCCACGTACACCTGGCTATCTCCATTTGGCTGCGGCTAAAAATTGTTTATAAGTAGATAGATTGTTTCCATGATAGAAACCTCTTTTTAGGTACATCACATATATAATTTCATATCAAAATATTAATAAAATGTTATTTCTATTATGGTTGAGAATGCAAATATTAATGATACAATGGTGAGAAATTTGTCCAAAAAAACTTGAATAAGTTTAATTCAAAATTTTTATTTTCATTCAAAGATTTAATTTTTATTCATTAAAACACTGTAGTGACCTCAAAGGGTTTTTTTTTTTTTTTTTTTTTTGAAAATTAAAGCAATTTTTATAGATTAAATAAAATTTACAAGAGGGCCTTAGGCCCAAAAAGGAAAGTAAAGACATAGCAAGCCCAAAGCCTGTGACAAAGGCTACAAAACAAAACCAGCCCAACCAAGGAAACAAATCCAAACCCGAAAAAAGAATAACTACCAGTAACGGCATGAGGCCATTAATGTAGGCCATTAATTCAGTCCAGTGACATCGAAGATACGGCTATGCTGTAACGACCCACTCCACCACATGGTATGATATTGTCCGCTTTGGGCCTGAGCCCGCACGATTTTGTTCTTGGGCTTCACCCTAAAAGGCCTCATACCAATTGGAGGTGATACACTTACATATAAGCACTTCACATTTCCTCTATTCAGGCGATGTGGGACTGTGCACCCGTAACTCGCCAGTGTGGTAGCCTAACAGTGTCTCTCGCACTCGCCCACGGCACACCCGCCCACAGGGTCATCACAATCCACCCCCCTTGGAGGCCCGACGTCCCCGTCGGTACACTTCCGGCTGGGTCAGGCTCTGATACCATTTGTAACGACTCACTCCACCACATGGTATGATATTGTCCGCTTTGGGACTGAGCCAAAGGCCCCATACCAATTGGAGATGATGCACTTACATATAAACACTTCACCTTTCCTTTACCTAGGCGATGTGGGACTTGTGCACCCGTAACTCGCCAGTGTGGTAGCCATAAACTCAATCTGGAGGTCGTGGAGGAGGTCTGCAAGAAGACGGGGAGATGTTCCAATCCATGAGAATTGATCCAGATGAAGAGCAATGCCTAAGATAGCCTAGCTTTAGAATAACAGCAATGGTGGAGGAGATCTTGGCATAGACAACCCTCTGCGAAGCTTTCTGACCTCTGAAAATTCTGGCATTCCTCTCTTCCCAGGTATAATACACTAAAACAGATAAGCCCAATTTCCTGTGTAGATTTGTAGGGTTGTTTGCTTTCCACTAGTTGCTTGTCCACTATACTAGATTATCCCAATTCTTAATTGTTGTATGAATGTTGCATTTGTATTTGATAAAACGCCGTAAAGGGGAGATGAAAGAGCAATTAAAGAATAGGTGGTCATGAGAATCAATTGACATGTTACACAGAGAACATATGTTGTGATGCTTGGCCATTGATTTGCTGTCAAGGGTTGGCAATTTGGATTAGGCAGCCAACCAAAGATTGAATTTCATTCTTGGTATGGTTGGAGAATGCCAAACTAGATTGTGCCATGGGACAGTTGGAAGCTCACCTATTAAGTGTGTAACTGTGTGGTTGAATGAATATAGGCTAGTAGGAAAAGGTATCCACTTCTTAGTGTCACTTCTAGATGAGCATAGTGTAGGTATATTGAGCAATTCAGGAATGGCATTGGTGAGGATAGTGAGAAAAACCCAATTGTTGTTAACAATGAAATTGTCCACTATTGTTCCTTCAGTAAATCCACCCACAGCTAGTAGATTTGCTGTGAATCTAGCTAGTGCATAGAGGCCCACCTGGAAGGAGTGTGCTAGCTTGGTGTTAGCAATTGTTATCTTTAATCCAAAATTCAAGCTAACGGTGGAATATTATTATGAAATGCTCTATGGTGATCGATGATATTAGTAAATATGTTTAAAGAGTTCACAGTGCTCTTTTTTATTTGTTTTTAATTAGTATTAAGTTGATTTTCCTTAATCAGAATCAATTCATTGTGTTTAAAGAGATAATGGTTCTACTTAGTTGTATAATATTTGTGAGGCTTCTAAAGATAACAAAACGGATGGGTTTAATGCATGGTATTTGTGTGGTCTTCTAATATACTTATGCATCAGAAGTTAGAATTAGAGCAATATTTGGAAAAGTCACCATTTTCAAGAAATGAAAATTTCAAATTTAAGAATTGATGAAAAGTGAATAGTACTAAACTTCTTACTTTAGCAAGAATAGCTTGCGATGTTTTGGCTATTCTAGCAACTACCGTGCCATTTGATGCAACATTTAACGTAGGAGGTAGAGTGAATGATGAACCACGTGGTTCCTTACTTTTAGAAATTATAGAGGCTTTGATGTTTACAAAAGTATTGGCTTCCATCTCAAAAAGAAAAGAAAAAAAGTATTTGGATAATGTATGGAAGTTACAATTATTTAAAGTAATGTTAATATAATATTTAACATATTTGAGCCTAAACTAACATTCTAAAATTTTATTGTAGGACATATGGACAACATGAAATGTCAATTTTTGAAAGAAGTTGAAGTGGAATAATTTTCGTTTTTGGTAACCTTGCTTAATTGCTTTTTCGTAATCAACATTTGTTATGGCATAAGTAGCTTATAAGCACAGTTGCATTTTATTTTAGATTGTACTTAAGTTTAATTATATATTTAGTTATCTTTGGTTTTGAGGTTTCATATAATGACTTGTTTATTCTTCTAAAGTTTACTTTTGTGAAAACTTGAGGGATATGTTATTTCCGATGGCTATGATGCTCGACATATTCATTTTAGATATATAATTTTTGGAGGTGTTTTGGTCCAATCATGACTCTATAAAAGTATTTAGACAAGAACCTAATATAGGTAACAAATACAGGTAAAATTCATGACATCTAACGCTTCTTTTTTGTCAATATTCTTATTCAATTTTTAACAATTTCTAATATGTAATGGACTTCTTGGTATGATTGAAACCTAAATGAAATGGGGTAAATTTGTTGTTTAATTTCTTTAAAGAGTACCAACAAAAAATTTTTTTGTTTGTCCTTGTATTTTTATGGATATGTATTATGTAAATATAGGCAAGTGAATGAAGATGAGATAATTGTTTGTTGAATTGTGCAAGTGTGTAGTTTTAATCTCGGATCGGATTATCGAATTGAACATCTGATAAACTAAATATTAGATATAGATTCATTAAGTAAAAATTCGTCGGATTATTGAATCAGATCGGAATGCCTATTATGATTATTGGATTTGGATCCGATCGATTATGATCTAGTTTGAATCTAATTCATTTACATGCCTATAAAAAACCTTCTCAAAATCACCGCTAACATATATAGTTCTCCATTTTTCTTGATGTAGGGTAGACTGAAAAGATACGGTTAAGTTCAGAACCCTTAAACTCAACTGAACTATATATGCTCAAAATCAACAGCCTTTTTGTGGCGATGTTTACAACTTCCTATTTTCCTTGTACTTCTTCTTTGGTGCCCAACAATATTTCTTTAAATGTTCTTTATTTCCACAGTTCCA